AGGGGTGGTGCAGAGAAAAAGTGCGAAAAAGAGGGGTGGGGTGGTGAGGGTGGGGATGACTACAGTCCTTGAATCGTGTAAACCCTCTTTCTGTGAAAGATGAGGTCGGTTTACTTTGTATATGAATCTTTTTTGGCGATCGCATACACGCAGTCAAGGGAAAACAAAAATGGGTAAACGCAGAAAAATGGGCGTTGTTGAAGCCGGCGGGGACCGTTGTCGTTTGTGTTGGGGTGTCACGGCTATTATTTGCCTTCATGCCATGGAGAACTGAGGCAGAAATACCACAATACTTCTTTGATTTGTCCCCCAATATGTTTTGTCTCTCACTCCGGCGGACGGGCCGAGGTGGGAGGAATGAAAAGACACGTGTACAATGTCAGGAGAAGCAACGGGGAGATTGATGTGAGGGGGATGGGGAGGGGTTGGGAGAAGGGAGGGTATATAGAAGGGAGGGGGTAAGGGAGGGAGGAGGGAGCCGGGAGGGGAGAGGGGGAGGGGAGAAGGGAGGGACAAAGGAGGGAGGAGGGAGGGGCAAAGGAGGGAGGTGGGAGGGGAAAGGGGAGGAGGGTAAAGGGGGAAGGTTGGGGAGGGAAGAAGGGGAAAAAGGGGGTATAAGGGAGGATGGCAGGGAGGGGGAGGAGAGGACAATGAGGGGGGAGGTACGGAGGGGGAGTAGAAGGAAGGAAAAGGGAAGAGGTGGGAGGTACGGAGGAGAGGAGGAGAGGAGGAAAGGGGAGGAAGGTGTGGGGGGGGGTGGAAGAAGGGCAAAATGGGAGGAGGACGAGAGGTACATGTAAAGGGGGGAGGGAAGAAGGGAAGAAAGGAGGGGTAAAGTGGGTGGGAGAGAAAATGAAAAGAATAGAGGGGGTGAAAGAGGGGAAAAGAAAGGGGTGGGGATATGAGGGGGTGTAGGAGGCGAAAAAAGAGAGGCGATTTGGAGAGAGACTCGACGCATACTGGAATCTGGAGCAGGGGTCACAAGGGTGCGATACGGTCGTCCTGGAGGTGATGTTGTCATTGATCATGGCTGGCATATTGTGACAGACTGCAGTGTGGGGTGAGTGTGGCGTGAGGAGAGAGAGATAGAGAGAGAGAGAGAGAG